AGACTGCCTAGTGAGCCAATTTAAAATCGTTAGTTACGTATTGATTGTTGGTATTACTTATGCGTCTTTTCAGAAACATATGGGAATTCTGGAAGTGAACCATATTGTTAGTTTATAATATTCGCCTTCACTAACCTTTGCACCCTTCCGAGATGTGGCTTCGGATTTTTTTCCCCGAGATCCGGCTTCGATCTGGCTGCCAGAATCCAGCTTCGGCCTCCCTGCCGGGATCCGGCTTCAGGCTATGCAATTTCCTAAAAAAAAAAACAAGTAATTAAACAACAATCAATTCACATTTACTTATATCAAATAGCCTTTAATTTTCCCGAAATAAATTTTATTTTTACTCCTTCACTTCTTTTATTTTCACTTCTCAACAAAAACACACAAAAAAGTTGGAAGGGTTGTATACTAGATACGACCGTAGGGTTGGCGTTGGATAACGTCTGTTATGTGTTGTACTTAATTGTGTATATTATATTTTATGAATATTCCTTAATAACTCTTTTGCGAAAGTTTGCTGGCCCTAAAAAGGGCCGTTTTGTTGGGCTGATGTTGTTGACAATGGAACGGGCGACCTTGTTGGAAGCTTATATAGAAGAACAGAAAATATCAGAGGTGTCAGATACTCGCATACGTACGTTAAACTCTTTCTTGATAATGTTGTTCCAACGCGCTCGGCGTAGTTGCCCTTGCGGAGCAGACGGTGAATACGACCGACTGAGAACTGCAGCAGCTGGGCATTCCATGACGGCGGCCCAGTATACCGGAGCACTGGCATCAACGCACTCGGCGTAGTTGACCTTTCGCCCCCAGGCTCTGCTGCCACTGCTCTACTGCCGTTGCTCTGCTTCCGCTGCTCTGGTACTGCTGCTCTGCTGCTCCGCTGCTGGGTCGACGATCGGATAGACAATGATGGAACGGGCGACCTTGTTGGACGCTTATATAGTAGAACAGAAAATATCAGAGGTGTCAGATACTCTCATCTGATGTCTCGGTTGGAGAAAGTATAAGCACAAACGAAGTGACAGACGACTAACTGGCGAAGAAATCCATTAAAATAATGTGGTTCACTGTAATAGAATTTTCTTGGAAGCTTGTGCCATCATCCACTAGATGGGTTAGTTTTTTTGTTTTGATTTGAACAAAGTTGATTTTGTGTACAATGATTCTTTGACAGTGCGCAAAGAGTGCGTATCATTTTGTCATTTTTTTTATGCATTTCAGTTTTGAGTAGAGTGAAAGAGATAGAACCAAAACATTCTAATACATTTGGTGAAAATGCTAGTATAATCCAGTAGTAGTGTTGCCATGTGGTACAATCCAGTAGTAGTGGTGTTGCCATGTGGTACACTGAAAAATTGAAATAGCAGGTTAGTCACTAAAGTTTTCGAGCCGCTCCGTCTGTCACTTCGTTTGTGCTTATAGTACGTTCAGACTACAGAGTTATAACATGTTATAGCGCTATCTTGATGGTGGTTTCTGTGTTGCAATTATTTGACAACCGTTATAACACAAACGAAGTGACAGACGGAGCGGCTCGAAAACTTTGGTGACTAACCTGCTATTTCAATTTTTCAGTGTACCACATGGCAACACCACTACTACTGGATTGTACCACATGGCAACACTTTTACTGGATTGTACTAGCATTTTCACCAAATGTATTAGAATGTTTTGGTTCTATCTCTTTCACTCTATTCAAAACTGAAATGCATAAAAAATGACAAAATGATACGCACTCTTTGCACACTGTCAAAGAATCATTGTACACAAAATCAACTTTGTTCAAATCAAAACAAAAAACTAACCCATCTGGTGGATGATGGCACAAGCTTCCAAGAAAATTCTATTACAGTGAACCACATTATTTAAATGGATTTCTTCGCCAGTTAGTCGTCTGTCACTTCGTTTGTGGTTATAACATATTATAACCATAGAGGTAACTCTAAGACTAGAAGGTCCCGAAATAAAGTGCTCAAATTTTTGGCTCAGCTCTGGTACTCTCTTCGGTCCCAAGCTAATCGATTCACCCCTCGAAACATAGGAAAAACGAATAACCCCTCATTTCATCTGTCAAACTTTCATAGCGAATCAAAACAAACATTGTGTAGTACTAGAATTTCGACTAGAATGGGATACGTTAATCGTTTGCTTGGGACCAATAGGCTAGTCAAGTAGTGAGCCAATTTAAAATCGTTAGTTTCGTATTGATTGTTGTTATAACTGCTCAGTCTGGCCAGCGTTTTATACATTTTATGAATAATCAGCAATATAAATTTGCAAAAAGGTATAAGGAGATTTCTATCCGTGTGGATTTGTTCGGTGAAATATAATTTTTACCAAATGATTTGTAAACAGTATTATTTTACCAATTTTCCGCAATCATAAGTGCTGAATTTCCATAATTTGCAGAAATTTACCGAAAACTGTAAATCAAATTTGCTGATTGAAACTGTAAATGGCTGCGATTCCGAGCGATTCCGCCATTCTGTAAAAATTGTAACGAATGTACTGTATAAATAATCTTTTACAAAGAAACAGCAATAAAGTACAGCATTTCCGTAAAACTTACTGAACAGATTTGTAAACTTTGTGCTGTCAAACTCAACCTTTCCTGCCATTTCGTTGTTGAGTGTTCTTCGGTCCAATTTACACCGAAAATTTAATTTGTTTTCATTTCTGGGTCATTTTCTTTCAGACGCCATGAACGTTAGGAAATTCAATTTCCCCCTCAAAAGTGAATTTTAGCACGGTTTGCTGAGTCCGACTTCATTACTAATTGTTTTTATTATGTTTGTACGAACGCAATATGGAAATGCCTATTCAAAAATAAATGGTTAAATCTAGGGGCCAGACAGCTTTAAATCATGAGTAATTTTTAAGCAAATTTTGAGTAGCTCTGAGTTACTCGCGCTGCTCAATGATGAATATCGTTGTCAACATGTCAATATGTATCGCAGCAACTCAGTCAACGAGAGAAAAGTTTTGATCGAGTTATGTGTCACTCACCGGTGAAAGTTCAAAACAATTTTGTAATCTGTTGATACCTTGTCGTAATTTTCTTTTATTCTAGCGTATCAGTTGCATTGCTGGAATTTTACATAACTTTAATTACTTTGGTCAGCCATGATTGAGAAACAACCCAACAAATAATTTGAGTTGATTAACAGCTAAAAAGGCCATTTTTTAGCTGAAGAAGCTTATTTTTGCCTGAATAAGCTCTTATTCAACATTCAATGTTTGTTGGGAAGTCGCTTCTACCATAGAATTATTCCAGACATCGCAGCTTGTCTTGTCAGTGGAAGTGGCACACCGACAACCCTGCCATTAGTTCCTGAAAATCCATGAGCTTTATGGATCAGTGTAACATATAATTGAAAATACTTTCAAAGAAACTAATCAGTTGTAAATAAATAAAACATCATCATTTATTTCTTCATAACTGCATTTAAGGACAATTTCGAAATTTTGAACATATTTGAAAGATATATATGAGTCAGCTTAAATTGTCCAAATTCGTTTCAAAATATGAGGTTGTACTGGAACTGTGTCAATCGTTGGCCATTTGATAGGGATGTGCAGGTGGTTCAAAATGCTGCAGGTCCGAAAAAATATGTACATAGACTCACCAGAGTTGACCAGGTTTCTATCCTTTATTTTTTGCATTTTACTTGTGGTTCTACTAACGCAAACAAAACAGGAATAGTTCTTGATGATCTGGGAATAATAATACGGGTTTTAATCAGGGTAAATCTTAACAACGGTATTAGCGCAGAATATTAGTTAAAACACAATTCTTGCCGTTACTACCGAATGTACAAATAATAGGATGACTAACTATACAATTACTCCCGGATCATTCCTGTAAATCCATATTAATTGTTGGAATTCGTATGATCGATGTTGGGATATAGACATACGTTTTCAGTTCGTAGCAGTATCTATATATACTTTAAAAAGAAAGCTTTTTGGAGAGAAAAATAAATTACTTGCAATTAAACAACCATAAACTGCAGCTGAAAGTCTCTTTGATAAAGAAATCTAAATCTAAATTTTAAACAAAACTGTTCATGATAGCTGACGTTATTTTGTTTATAAATACGACAGATTGAAAAATTAAGGCTACTTCGTTATTTTTTGAGTATCTACGAGTAACTCACAGTTACTCAATGTTAATATATTAACTCAGAGTACAGCTGACTTGCCCCTAGGGTTAAATAGTCGAATGAATTTCTGGGTTGGTGAATGAAAGAAACAATAATTATTAGTTAATCAATAAAAAAAATATTTTTTATGATTTATTCTGAAAACAAAGTACAGTAGATTCGGTAAAACATATACTGAACGCTATGGTAAACTATACCGATCGTTAAGTAAAATTTACAGTACGCAAGTCAGTAAATTTTGACAGCCCACAAGCGAAGAAAATGGACCGAACGGATTGTTAAATGAAAAATTACCGAATGGATTACACTGATAAATTAAACTATTCCCATTTTGCTTGAAATTTAATCAATCTGGCATTGAACTCAGTTTAATCATATCGAATGATTAAAAATTAATACTCTCTTTCTAAAAAATAAGCATCTGACTTTAATCCCAGTTTAATCATGCTTGATTAGATTGAAGATTATCTTTTTTGAATAAATTTTAATCATTTTTTATACTACATATTTTAATAATTTTTGATTGAATTTTAATCTTTTTTGATTATATATCAGTATTGAAAAAGAATAAAATTTAATACTGGAAAGATTATTTCAAAATTAATCATGCATGACTACTGCCGAAGTAATCATGGCTCGGACTCAATAAGGTGAAGCGGGAATCTGCATACTTTTCAAGCTTTTTTGATTTAATTTATCTTTGAGTGTAGTGTGTGCTCTTTTGTGTGATTATCGGTATTTTTTACCGACTTTTTGGCATATTTGTCTTAGCGTGTACGGCAGTGAAGCACCGGTGTAACTACACCGCAAAAACGAAAACGACATCAGAGGGAGTATTTCTAGCTGAAACCATTGTATCCCAGGTTAATAACATGTATAGATTTCTAAAATATTGTAATTCATGAGGTTTTAAAAGTGAAGTTTAACAAACATTAAAACTAGTTCCCAGCTAGTACGAGTCAATTACGATGGATGCAAGGAAAAATAAAAGATCATCTAATAATAAGGTAGGTAGAGAAAATGGCTCTAATGTTGGTCTATGGATAAAAAGAATGGACCCATCGAAAAAAATCTCCAGTTTTTTTTTTCTCAGAACAATGCATCATTTGGAAAACACAAATTGATATTTTTAGTAGCTGGTAAAAAAATTTGCAAAACAATGCTTTCCTTCGAAATTTATACATGGGCACTTATAGCGTATTCGTTTTTTATCATTCTATTATTATTATTTTAACCAGTTCCAACCTAGTGCGAACCTTAATCAACGTTTGTCAGGAAACAATCAGACTCAATCTTGATACCCGATCCAGGTTGGATCTGAATAATAAACTAATGCGCTATTAGGTTGTATGACTAAAAGCGTTTACTTTACTTTTCCCGTAAGAAAAGCGCGGTAAAGTAAAGTCAACTTTTTTTTTATTCATATAGGGTGACTATAGGGACATTAACTCTAATATCACTGAAAAGAGCTTGACAAAGGATTGATAATTTGATTTGGTTAGTTGCAGAAGGCTTCAAAACATGATTCAAGAGGTGGTAAACCTGTCTCGGATAGTAGCGGCTCCCAACCACGAATTTTGTTAAAACCGAAAGAGCATACAGACGTCCAAAAAAAAGGAGAACCAACTATCACGATCGCTACCAAAGTTTCCCAGGCAAGATCGGATCAACAACAAACCGTCAAGGAAGGCATCAAGCAACGCACGCCACACGAGACTCCTCAATCACTCACAATAGTGAATCGTATGGTTAAATCGGTTAATCTTGTTAGCAGCAACAACACCTTGAACGTACATGCGTTCGACTATCTACAGGAAAACAATTCAGACTTTTTTGTAATCGGGGCCATCGGAATGCAGGGTTCTGGTAAATCTACTGTCTTGAATCTTCTTGCTGCCGATCCCACTGAAGAGACCTTTAAACAAGCTGCTTTCCACGTTGGCGGGGGCGTTTTTCCAGTAACGAGCGTTTTTACGCAATGCGAGACCGGTGAATTTGAAGATGGTAAAATAAAAACTGTATTTCTGAAAATTGTATAATTCAGTAATTTTGTTAAATTTGACTCGCAGAAATTCGCATACATATTACAAAGGACCGCCTCATTCTTCTGGATAGTGCTCCTGTGCTGTCGAATCGTGGTAAGAAAGATTTTGTTTTGAGCGAGCTGGATGATATTCGTCGGATAATTTTCCTGCTGAGTGTTTGCCACGTTTTGGTAGTAATACAAGAGGATTATTTCAACATCAATTTCGTTAGGCTTTTACGCTGTGCTGAAATGATGATTCAACGGGATCAGAAAGACATGCAATTCTTAAATCCTAGAATACTCTTCGTGAAAAATAATTGCGCGCGAAAAAATTTCGCGTTACATGAGAAGAAATTTTACGAGACAATGTGCAGGCAACTGTTAGGAGAAACAAAACTTAAAATCAATTCTAACCAAGATGATAAAGAGCAGATTAATATATTGTATTTTCCAAAACTATCTTACGGTAAGATCGTTACTACTGACTTGCGTATTTCAATCACATTTTCAATCGTATCTTTTGGCAGGCAACTTTCTTTTCACTGATGATGAAAGCAGCTTTTCGTGCATACAAAAACTTCGAGAACGTGTGTTTATGACCCCCACGGATGATACTGAAGAAGGTCGAGATATTCTAACGGAAAAGTCATGGTCTCAAATAATTCACCATGTTCTAGAGGGGCATAATAATAATTACTTTCTGCGGAAATATGAGAACTTGAAAGAAAAGTATAACTTGCATAATCATGTTAATGTTGTGGAGAATGCGGCTAAAGAAAAAAGCTATCTTAATTTCGTCGATACCTGAGACCGATGATGAGTTATTGTTTTTCTTATTATTTTAATGTTCTGACAAAACAAAAAATGCTTTCTGCAGAAAAAAAAAAACTTGAGCTTTTAAGGTTACTGAAATGTTTTATAATACTCCCCCTTATTCTGCGAGTCACGTGACTCTCTGTCACCGGTGAGGTGACAATTGTCACCTCGTGTGAGGTGACTCTCCATGTAAATCAAATGGAGAGTCACCTCACACGAGGTGACTATTGTCACCTCACCGGTGAGAGAGAGTCACGAGACACAAGATGACACTAACTACTAAATCCTCAGATCGATCCGTTTTAAAAACACATAAATTAAATTAAAATATTCGAGATCTCGGCTCGCCAAGATGTCTCTAACGGGCCGCATAGGTTGTTTTCCTCGGGCCCTGAGGGATGCTTATAACTCGGATCTAGCAACACAATGTAAAGTGCATGACCAAAGCACGTGGCCGATATCGTGATAGCCACTACCACAAGCGCACAAATTGCTGCCTGCGAGCCCGATTCGGAAGAAATGCGAGTCTAACGAGTAGTGATTGGACATGACTAGAGCTGGTAAATATCACGGCTATCATGTGACGAAGAGAAAACAGGTCCTCTCACTATCACGAGACGAAACTACCTATCATTAGCTTTCTTGTCATTTTTCAATGATCAAGCACTCATGAGAATAATTCTTATTTGGTTTTGACATCAACATATCTAACTGATTTAGATAAAATTAAGCAAACAACCGTATCTAATCGATAGAGTGAATACATTATTAAGATTTCTTTGGTACAGGTAACTTTCATAGCATTAAATGAGCTAGTAATTACGATGATCACAACACTTTCACGTTCTGTCATGACAAAAAATTCGATGAGATTTTGAAGAAAAGCTCTATCATCGTTTTCTCATCCAATGATAGTGACAGAAGTATCTCTGTAAATATCGCGTGAGATCTTTCATTGAAAATGACATTTGCCAGCCCTGGACATGAGTCTTGATATGACACGTATAAAGTCACGGCTCATGTCCAATCCTTTGAACCATGGCTTGTTCGACACCTGTGAGAGAATAGAATGTAACCATCTTCCCAGATCACTCTCATTCCATTTTTGTTGCCAGTTGGTGAGGACGTGCTGACGGGTAATTGAGAAAAATTCCGCAAAGGCGATTTGTCGATCAAAAATATCGCCTTCCGCTATGGATGCTATGGGCGCTATGCCCACCTTAGCTAGCGAGTCCGCTTTCTCATTACCCGGAATTGAGCAATGAGATGGGACCCAAACTAAGGTGATAGTATAGGAGCAGTTAGATAAAGTACTCAATTTTGCTCGGATTTCGGTCAGGAAATACGAGGAGTGCTTCATCGGCCTCATTGATCGAATAGCCTCCAACGAGCTAAGGCTATCTGTAAAAATAAAATAGTGATCAGATAGTAGTGAGGCAATTTGCTCTACTGCGTAGAATATGGCTGCTAGTTCCGCAACGTATACGGAACAGGGTTTTTGCAGTTGATATGAGGCGCTATGAAATTCGTTGAATACTCCAAATCCAGTGGAAGCGTTTATAGTTGACCCATCTGTGAAAAAACTCTTATTGTTACTAACATGGTGGTACTTGTTTGCAAAAATTAAGGGAACAACCATCGACCGATGGTGATCTGGTATTCCACGGATTTCTTGCAACATGGTCAGATCAAAATTTACAGAGGAACTATAAAAGTCTTGGAGGCAAACACGAGAGGAATTGAATGAAGAAGGGTCAATCTCCAGCGTCATGTACTCGTAAAAGAGACTCATGAATTTTGTTTGAAGATTTCTGTCGAGCAGCTTCTCAAAGTTTTCTACTACCAATGGGTTCATTACTTCACAACGGATAAGAAACCGGAAGGACAGTTCCGCGAAACGATCTGTCAGTGGGAGAACACCCGCGAGTACTTCGAGGCTCATCGTATGTGTCGAGTGCATACAGCCAAGCGCGATTCGGAGGCAACGGTATTGAACCCGTTGCAGCTTCAGGATGTGTGTTTTTACTGCGGATTGAAAGCAGAAGCTACCGTACTCTAGAACCGACAAGATGGTTGTTCGGTACAACCTGATCAGATCTTCCGGGTGTGCTCCCCACCAAGTTCCAGTAATTGTACGAAGAAAATTGATTTGTTGACATTTTCGTTTCACATACGCAATATGTTTTCCCCACGTGCTTTTGGAATCGAACCAGACACCTTAATACTTGAAAGATATATTTTGAATGATTGTTCTACCCTTTAGTTGAAGCTGTAACTGTGCAGGATGATGCTTCCTAGAAAAAAACAAAAAACTCAGTTTTCTCCGGAGAGAATTCGATACCCAGCTTCATAGCCCAAGTAGACAAATTGTCTAAGGTATCTTGCAATGGTCCTTGCAGGTCCGGTGCACTTGGCCCTATAGTGGACACAACCCCGTCATCTGCAAGCTGCCTTAGCGAGCAATTTTCATCAAGACAACCATCAATATCTTTTACATAAAAATTATAAAGAAGGGGGCTTAAACATGAACCCTGGGGGAGACCCATGTAACTAATTCTTGAACAAGTTGCTCAAATAGTTGTTCATAATTGGTGAAAGCCCACTATCGTGGAGTTTATCCGAAAAGACATCGATACAAACAGAATCAAAAGCCCCCTTAATATCCAAGAAAACTGAACCCATTTGCTGTTTTTGCGCATAGGCCAAGACAGTCGCTCGTTCCTTTGCCTCTCCGAAATCCAAATTGCGTATCTGAAAGTAAACCATTCGACTCGACCCATTTGTCTAGACGAAAAAGAATCATTTTCTCCAACAATTTCCGTATACAGGACAGCATCGCGATGGGACGGTACGAGTTATAATCCGACGCGGGTTTACCAGGTTTTCGAATGGCGATAACTCTCACTTGCCTCCAGTCATCCGGAACAATGTTGTGCTCCAGAAATTGATTGAATAAGTTCAACAAGCGTGTCTTCGCGACATCTGGGAGATTTTTAAGCAAGTTGAACTTGATTCTATCCATTCCTGGAGCTGAATTGTTACATGAAATGAGAGCAAGTGAGAATTCTACCATCGAAAACGGGGAATCTATTTCGTTATTACCCGACGGACGATCACGAACGTTGGTTTGAACCGACACCGAATCCGGGAAAACTTTCCGCGCGAAGCTGAATATCCAACTGTCCGAGTACTCCTTGTCTTCGTTAATCGGTGATGACGCGTTTCGCATTCTCCTGCCGACATTCCAGAGTGTTCCCATGGAAGTCTCTCGCGACAAACCATCGACGAACCGACGCCAGTAACCGCGTTTTTTTGCTTTAATTAAATCCTTAAAAGTTTTCTCGAGGTCGGTGTACCGCTCGAAATCCCCGACCTTGCCGTGTTTGCGGAAGCGTTTAAACGCGGCGGACTTCTCGCTGTTCGCGTCGGTGCAATCCTTATCCCACCACGGGGTGGGAGGTCGCTTGCGGACGGAAACACCCGGAACACGTTTCGTCTGTGCTCGCAGCGCAGAATCGATGATAAGACGCGCGAGAAAGGAGTATTCGTCCAGCGGAGGAAGTACGTCAACCGATTGACTGGCATCAAGAAGCGCGGTCGTGAATTTTCGCCAGTCAATGTTTTTCGTAAGATCGTACGCGATGTCGACCGAACGAGTAGAAGATGAACCATTGGTAATAGAAATTTTGATTGGCAAATGGTCACTACCGTAGGGATCTTGAATTACTTTCCACGAGCAATCCAACGATAGTGAACAAAGTGAGAGGTCTAATCTGCTTATTTTTGCTGGAGGTTTGGCTACTCGTGTTGCTTCCCCGGTGTTCAGAATTGTCATTTTGAAGAAGTCGCACATGTCGTATATCAAGGTTGAGCGGTTGTCGTCGTACAGTTCCCCCCAGCATGTACCGTGAGAGTTAAAATCTCCCAAGATCAACCGTGGCTCCGGCATAGCCGTGCAGATATCCGAGAAACTTTGACGAGAAATCGCAGTTCTCGGTGGAAGATATACTGAGGCAATACTGAGGCATTTACCTCGAATGTTAACCTGACATGCAACAACTTCAATGCCTGTCACCGAAGGCAGATCGATTCTGTAGAAGGAATGGAGCTTGTTGATCCCAGAAGCACCCCTCCATACGAATCTGCGCGGTCAAGGCGAATAATGTTGAAATCGTGAAAAGCAAGATCGTTGTCTGAAGAGAGCCATGTTTCACAAAGGGCAAATGCATCAGAAAGTGAGTTGTTAACTAAAAATTTAAATGTGTCAAGTTTTGGCATAAGACTTCTACAGTTACACTGAAGAACAGAGATCATATCCCCGACCTCATTCGGAGAATTATCCATCAAAGGATATGATCGATGCAAGGAAGGACCACCTAGAAGCTAGTTGCTTCAAAAGATTTTTCACCATTGGCAGCACTAAATTAATAATGCTCCTCGTTGAGTCAGAGATATTGAATATACTGAAGAAGCTATCCACAGTACCAGAAAACGTGAACATGGGGGCATGTTCTTGCTGATTATTCAGCTGCTTTTCTGGCCGAAAAACTGGGACATCTGGGGTTTTAGATGATCCTGGAAGTGACGGAAAGTTCTTGTCATAATTACAAGGTTTAAAACCCGGTGGAATGGGTTTCGGTGCATTTCCGTTACCTCTTGATTTTTCCAAGGTGGAAGGGTGGTCCGTACGAGTGGCCTTACGAGGCTTTTCGGTGGTGTGTTGTTTTGCTCGTTTTCTCGTATTGCCTTTAAAGACAAACGGACTACCCTCACCGCCCTCTGAGTCAGAGTCTAGATCATCAACTGGCAAAATGGAAAACGTGTTACTGATTATATACTATTAAAAGAGTTTTGGATCACCCTAAGTATAGCAAATAATAATAATAATAAAAAAACAAGAAAAAAAATCAAGCGAAAAAAAAATATTGGATTTTTTGGATCACCCTAATTAAACACCAGTATAATATTGGACCAGGGAAACAAGGGAGATGCTATAGAGATTGCTAAA